ACTCACCCAGGATTGAAATTCGAGTTTTCAGATCCAATAACAACAGTCAATGATCCATACAATCTAGGAATTTGATCAGCTAAACACACAGTTTGTGATCTTGAACCCATGTTCATAATTAATGTATAGTTCTCATTTCTAGGTAAATATCTTTAACAACATTTTTACATTTTTTTTTAATTAATACAACATAATCAGTCTACCAAATGATAAGTAATATTTCATCGTTAACCTATTTGCTATTGATTGTTTACCTGGTCAGTACGTAAACTTGGTCAAAGATGTAAGTTGCCAAACCTCCTTTTTTTAATGTATCAGTGTGACGTAATTTCGAGACTGATTTAAAAAAATTTAAATTACTTTTAGGGTCATTATATTCGTCTTCTACGTTTCTCGTGACATAACTCGGGTGTACGTCAATCCATGGTTTATTCTTATCACCATCAGTAAACCCTGAAATACAAAAATTTAATGACAAGATCAGCACAGTATATTCATATATTAGTTATTACTTGTTTATAATATGTTACAAAATATCTGTATTGGTTTTAAGAAAATAAAATATTTTATTTCCATTAAGTATTATTTGTTATTTTAGACATATTAAATATATTCGAAATTATTTGGATAAAATGTAGGAAAACAAAACCTTGATTATTTTTCGAATTAATTTGCCAATCGATTGATTGATTTATCAGTTAATATACTAATCAAAATGTTCAATGATTTAATAAAAATATATACCAGCATATGTAGTATTACTCCATTGCATCGGTGCTCTTGCATAATTTGTTTCAACGGGTATATCTTCCATACCAATTTCTCCTCCATAGTATACAATAGCTACTCCGGGTAGAAATAATGATAATGCGTTCATAGTATCAATAAATTCACAGCCATATAAAGTACAAACTCTTTTGTTATCGTGATTTTGCAACTAAATTTGTGGTTAAAATATGTCAAGCAAAATTAATAATTCAGAAAGAGGAAGAAGGAAATCATTTTTATTATTTGGGAAACAATAAATACTAAATTATATTACAATTACAGAACATAAAATATAGTTTTCTCGGCAGTGAAGTACGTGGTTTGATAATAAAATACCGGCACTAAAATTGTATCTAAGCTAAAAATAATGGAATTGGGAATTTACAAATATCAAATAAAAGTAGATATGACACTTAATCTTGTTATTCAAACCACGAGTTAATATTAACTTTTAGTAACGAATAACAGTTCATAGAAGTCATATACTTTTAAAGTGTCTGTCGTGTTTTTCATGTCAAATCAACTCGAGCAGCGTATTTGCATTAAATTTTGTATTAAACTCAGTAAATATGCGACTGAAACTATAAAAATGCATTTGAAATAATGTAATGAATAGGTTTAAGGCATTTGAATGACATAAAAGGTTTATTGAAGGTCGTGAAAACATCAACATTTACTCTGGTGCTGGACGACCTTCAACTTCAACAACTTGGGAAATGGTGGAAAAAGTACGAAAATTTATTATATCAGTTAGACGAATGACTATAAGAGAACTTTATAGTGAGTGTAACATTTCTTATGGATAATGCCAAACTATTTTGACTGAATATTTATGCATGAGATGAGTCTCTACAAGAATGGTTAAACAATTGTTGTCTCAAGATCAAAAAAACATCGTATCCAAGATTGTCAAAGTTTGAAAGAACGAACACAAAATGACCTAGAGTAAATTAAAAATGTAATACCAGATGATGAAATTTGGGTCTATGATTATGACATAGAAACTTAACGACAGTCAACAAAATGGAAATCGTTAACCCCACCAAGACTCAAAAAAGCTCGACAAGTTCAGTCTAACGTGAAGATTATGTTAATTATTTTTATCGATATTAAAGGCCTTAATTACTACAATTTTTTTCCAACTGGTGGAAGGGTTAATCAGACTTACTACATAAAAGTTTTAATTAAACTGCAGGAAATAATTCGAATTAAAGGTGCAGATCAGTTACAAAATAGATCATGGTTGTTACACCATGACAACGCCCTTCTAATTCTGCCTTATCAATTCATGAGTTTCTGGCTGATTAACAAATTCCAAACGTACCACAATGCCCTTACTCATCGGACCAAGCCCCTTGTGATTATTTTTTATTTCCAAAAATTAAAACTGACCTCAA